AATTAAAATTACTTTGTACCTGCCTTTCTGCGAATTAATTCTTTCTCCCTGTATTATATCCTTGTATGCCATCTTTATTTATACATATTTCTACCATTAAATTCACTGCTTCTATGATTTCTGTGTACATATTGTCGCGCTAATTAGGTATGATAACTTAGAGGAATGCATATATATACCTGGTCCTACATTATAGATGGTTGACTGAATTCGGACTATTTATTCAGAACAAAACCAATGAATTGATTATTTATTTATTTATTTATTTGAACACATAAATATTGGTACAAGAGGGCGCCAATATATATGTGCCACACAAAACAATGAGAATTCGAAGAGAAAGAAAAAAAGGTAGGGGGTGTGAAAAAAAGAGAACAATAACAAAGAGGTTGGTGTAAGGTAGTATAGTAATAATACTAGTAATAATGAGGGAACGGAAAGGTACAATCAGAAGAAATCTTTCAGTTAAGGGAGACACAACCACTTTTTATGAAGAAAGTAAAAGAAGGTTACAGCAGGATCGCCAGTGGCTTCTATTCTGAGCCATATCTGATAACGTCTCTAGCCACTGTGTAGCGCCATCTCTCGGACCCCAACCAGGGAGTCGTGAAGGACCGACAGAAGCCAGTTCTTTGCAGCTTTCTTTTATACAACGACACAATGTCATGCACTGACCACCTCTCCGCTTCTTCCAACCATTCCCAGAGTCGGCAAATAATGCACGACGTGGAATTCTCTGGGACGACATTTGTAGAACATGTAGTAATTGTAGTAGTAGTAGTACCGTTTTATTCCGTGCTTCTACAATTATCATTTTAATTTTATCTTTTTCAAATTTCACAGGTAAATTGGCTCCTTTATGGCCTTTCATTGGAATTATAGCTGAATTGGTGGTACTTGGTATTATAATATTGATTTATGAACGTACTCAAGCTAAACGTCGTCGTGAAGAAGAACGGACTACGTTGTTAAAACAAAATCCAACTGGTGATCGATGTTAAACAAATCTGGTAATTATTGCATACATATGTAGTTCAGTGATATGCTTTAATTAATACACAAATTTACAACTGTTGTTGAAAGCACAATTTTATTTGAAGGACACTGGTTCGTCTGTCAGCTTTTGCTTAATATCCTAAACGGAAATAGATGGAATCGAGTTTAAAACAATATTCTAATGATTAAAAGTACTTTTAAACACGGTCGCCACCAGGACTTTGGTTTAAAGCTATTATTTAGTCTATTTGTCGTACTGAGTATATTAAACCACATATGACGTGATAGTGTATACTTGTGGACTATCCCATGTTTTTTGTCTAGAGTACTTCCTAGAGTTCTTCAGATGATTAAATTAACTCATTATATCATCTAATTTAAATAATGAGAATTTGGCTTAGGTAAATGATTTTGTTGAAAAGAAAATTCTCCTGGACTTCTACTGCAAAGCCGTGACCAATGTAGTTTAACCATATTGTCTATGAAACAGTTCTTTACCTACTAACGCGATTGAAGTTTGGTTGAGCTTAAACATGTAAACCTGTTAGATGCCAACTCAGTGATCCAAATGTTTGACAATCTCCGCAAGACCTGATAGTTGTGGACTCAATCCACAATCTTATCTTGGATGTGTACTGTTAAGGTGTCTTATACTTATACTAACCAACTTCCCAATACTTCCTTACTAATAACAATCCATGATGTTAAGGTATAAAATCCAATAGTCTCCTCATAAATCCGTTTAGTAATGATATACTATTAATTTGTTTATATTGATGACGAATAATTTCGTTATTCTTACACGCTTTTTTTGTTTCAGCTAATTCCTTGTGATTGAATCACATCTGTGTTTGTTCACCTCGTTCCCTATCTTGTGGTTTTCAGCGTCAGTTACAGTCTCATCTCAGTACTGTTTTCTTTTAAAAACAACATTTATTTGTTTGTTTGCTTGCTTTTTATTTCTCTTCCTTATCAAGTGGCATATGTTTGTACGTGTGTCTGTGTGTGTATGCAAGTATGCACGTGCTCATGTTTGCATCTATGCTATTTTCGGCATTGACCCTTAGGTATTCTCACATTCAGATTGGCAAGAGTATTAGCTCATTTGTACGCCGACTGCTGTTATTATTATTATTATTATTATTATTATTAACATGATAAAGGATATGAATATTTGCTTTTATTTTCACATGTCACTTAATTTCTTATTCTGATTGACACTTCAAGAAAGAAAAGAAGACCTTGTAGTCTTACTCTATGCGTACTGTTTATCCTTATTATGATTACAATTATTATTATTATTATTATTATTATTATTATTATTATTATCGTTTTCTTTTTTTTTGTGCTGTATTACTTATTTCTGTGTTTCCAGCAAAACCTCTTCACTAACTAATTTATCTAATATATTTACTTGCCTATAACAAGAAAAGGAAAGATTGTTTATTCGTGTGTGTGTGCGTGTGTTGAATACAGATGAACATTTGAATTCTACACATATTCATCTTCTCTATACCATGTAGTGTAATGAAGATATACAACTTATGTAATCATTGTTTGTTTTTTTCTTTAATTATTTAGTTATATCATTATTTTACCGTTAAATGTATAATTTTAATTTGTATCTGATTTGTTCATTATATTCATTCATTGTGACTGAGTTGTTTGTTTGTTTGTTTTTCTGTACTCCTTTAGAACAGCTTTATCTTACAATATAAAGATAAATAAATTATATATTTAGTTAATGTTTCTTTTTCTATATATATATATATATATATATATATATATATATTTGTTTGCATATCGTTTGTTGTTGAGCGCTTCTTTGAAATAGACATTTCTCAATATTTATTGGGAAATGCATTTTTGTAGCTGCTACTTTAATTTCAGTGGTCAGGTTTGATTGTTATGATGACCTAATCGGGGTTATGTTAGCGGATACATTTGTTTATATATATTCTACCATGTTAAATAGCTAGGTTGG